TGTAGCATTTTCTAGTTTACCAAATACACCTTTGGAAAGCTTTGAAAACTAAATGACAGAGTAAGAGTCCGTTTGGTTCATGGATTAGAACTATGAAATTAGAACTATTTTCGATTTACGAGTGTTTTTTGTGAGAGAAAATACTGTAGCGAACCATAAATCATAATTCGAATCAGAAAACGAATCCTTCAACTAAACGTGCTCTAAATTCTTTGATATAAATCCTTTCCCCTTTCCATTGAGCCCCACAACACAAACAAATTAACATATTAGTCCCGTCACTAGACTTTTAGTGAAATTTTAAGAAAATGATGTCCAAAAAAGTGACCAACATGTCTCTGATAGTGCTGGTCTTAGTGACTAGTGGCAGATTTAAGTACAGCTCAGTGGAGGCCCCACTTAAATTTTTTTATTTTTTTAAAAAAATATTACCTTTAAAACTTTTAAAATTTTACACTTAAACCCCTACTGAAATAATATATACCCTACTAAAATAAATATATTTTCTTATATGTCTATACTAAGATAATTTGTCAAAAAAATTTAGTGTACGTCTTTACTGAAGTGAAAGGCTGGCTTCGCCACTGTTAGCGACCATGCTTTGGGACAAAACAATGGCACAATCAAGCTGCACCAATGTGCTAGTCACCATGGCTCCTTGCTTAAACTATGTGACAGGCAGTTCATCGACCCCGTCATCATCATGCTGCTCCCAACTTTCTAGTGTCGTCCAGAGACAACCACGGTGTCTTTGCTCGGCGCTCAATGGCGGTGGCATGTCATTGGGCATTAGTATCAACCAGACGCTTGCTCTTGCACTGCCGGCTGCTTGCAATATAAAAACTCCGCCGGTCAGCGGGTGCAATGGTAAAGTTGAAATACTGTTTTTCAAAATCCGATTAAGTGAAACTGTCTGAGAAGATCTCGTGGCTTAGAGCTAATCTAGGATTTATGCTTTTAATTGGACTAGGTGGAGTATCCCCTGCTGGTTCTCCTGAAGGTTCACCAGGTAACAAATACTTGATTGTGAAACTAGCTTACTCTTTATAAACTTCATTTGTTAAGAATAATCTAAGAATGTTCTACTGAGTTTAATGAACTCAAAATGGTTCTTAATTCAACATTTTCTGTTTACATGTCGTTTGCCTGAGTAGACAAAGGCTTGCTCTCTCTATATTCTCCAGCTTTTCCTGAGACACCACAAATTCAGTTGATCTGTAATGTATTTCAAGCAGTGAGTTGAGTGGCCAAACATATGTATTTTCCTAATGATTAAGAATATATATTAAGAAAAATTATATTAGTGGTAGTTTTGTTTTCTCGAATTAGTCGATTAGTATCTTAACATTCAGGTAATACTAAATAGACACTTTAAAAAAGAAAGAAACCGAACACCTTAAGGTCTTTTTTGAGACAACAACTTCCCTTTTAGACTAAAAACATGTTTAAGAAAACCAACTCACTCTTTAGAAAAAAAAAAAAAAAAAAAAAAAGCACTAATGCCATATTTGTTGTTTCTTATTTTTTTTTATTATTTTAAAATTTTATTTGTCTCAAAAAAAAAAATTGGAGTTTTTGTTTAAAAATGTGTATATATTGGAAGTCTTAAAAAAGGATGTGAAATTAAACCTGAATCCCACATTGTTTAAATGCAACAATAACTGCTAATTTATAAGTATTTTAGGTCACTTCATTTAATAAGTTGAGCATAAAGTTCAATTTCCATCAACTTAGAGGTTTATTTTTATTTTTTATTTATTTTTTTACTCAAATATTAATCCACAAATTTAACATAATCAAAATGTGATTTTCCGTGCTAACCACAAAATGTTTTTAATATGAATTGGAACAAATTTACATTTATAAACGAGAATATTTTCTGATTCGCATTTAATGAATAATCTCCACATCACATGTCTATAATGAAATTATTCCCCTCTAGAAAAAGACTAAGAAGGTTAAGCATTAAATTTGAGGGTACCCTCCCCAAAATAAATGACCTAAAACAGTCCCATTGACTGGTATGAGCTCTTCCATTGCCATGGATGTGCCACTTCACTTCCTTCTCCTAGTCCTACTCATGATATCATATGTTTCCACCAGCGGCAGCTTCTGATCAGTTCAATCTCTTTGGAAAAATGTTGGAATTGTTCTAGTATTTGGATATTACTTGTGTTGTAATGTACTGTTTTATGAAGTTTGTATTGGTTTTGCTTTACATTATATGAGAGTGTGAGCACATTTTCGGGAAAAAAAGGGTGTCAGGTTTGATCAATGTATCTACTTCTCGTACCTATATATGTTAATAAGAAAGATGTTTTAAATTTTTGTGATGGAGTAGATCTTGTTATTTTCTTATTATTTTAATATTTTTGTGAAGGTTTTTTTTTTTTTTTTTTTTTTTTTTTTCCTCAAACACCCTTGTGAGGCTACCAGTCAACAAAGAAGGGGAAAAAAAATCCTTGTGACTGTGAAGATTATACTGAACCTGAGTATTGTACTTTTTTTTTTTTTAATAGTCATTCTGCTTCTTCTTGATAAACATGAAATAACCAATGAAATCATGGTTGAATATTATACTGGTTTTGTAAACCAATCACAATAAGATGTGGATTTACATGATACTGTATAAGGTCCATATTGATTAAGCATCAATTTCTGAGGTACATTTGCTTGTACAATAAGGTTGTGGTCCATGGTCTCGATGCGCAGTGACGAATTTTTAGAAATTAGGTATTTAATTTTGCTGAAGCAAAGTTTAAGAAAGGATCGACCAATTTTAGTATGTTTTAATGAGTGTTATTAAAGAGTCATGAATTAGCCTTTACATTTAAGATTTTTAAAGGGCACTCAATACTTGAACATTTACGATAAATCCAACCACAATAATCCTTTACCGTGAGGCCCCCACACGATAATTTTAGATCCGTCATATAGCTTATACGTACCATAAAACTTAAAAATGTAAAATCATGACTGAACTAGCCATCTGAAAATTTATCCTACTACTTTCATAGGTCACTTTAGTTTCATAAACTTTTAGGTTTTTGATTTGCCACCTCAATAAAGAACCTTTGAAATAATTGTTTGATCACATTGAAAAAGAAGCTTGTGACAAAATACCATCGTTTTTGTTTTTGAAACTTTATCCAACCTGATTAAAGTGAAAGAAAACATTTTAAAAACAACCTAATAATGTTAATTGAGAAGGCCAAATCTTAATCAGCACCCATCAAATTGCACCTTGTGTGATGGTTTCCATCCCAAAGGCAAAGACAAATAACATTTTTCATGGTAATCACTTCAAATTGGTAATGCCCAATACTCTACAACCCCCTTTGGAAAAGAGTGAATTGGGTAACACTCATATTCTTGATCACAAAAATAGAACAATTACTTGTGGTAATTTTGGTTGGAATTGCTCACATACAAGTGGTGAATATCACTCATATATAATTTTATATAAATCATAGAGCAATCTTATAAGACATTAATAGCGCTTAATACCATCTATTAATAAAAGATAAGTTCAGTTGTGTGGGATCTACAGGCAGAGTTAGCACCGGTGGTAATTTTCCTAAATCATGAGATGAAAAGTCAATTTTATCTTGCGTCTGAAGCAACCAACAGGGACAGATGTCATTGTCATTAAGGAGCCATGCAACATTTTGGAAAGGGTAAGTATACCACCTTCTATCTACTCTCTGCTTCAAATTCTTAAGACTTTAATCTTTCTTTTCGCTTTTTTTTTTCCCCTGAAATTTAGATTCTCAAAGCTTCAGACAACCAATTTGTAGGAAAGTTTGCAAAGAGTTTGAAACACTATTATAATTTCTTATTCAAGACAAATTTCTAAAAAGTCTCTAAGCTTTGAATTCCCTTAAATTTCAAGGTCCTTTTTCTTTTTGCTATATATATATATATATATATATATTTTTTTTTTTTTTTTTCCGGAAGTAGAAGTTGGCCACCCGCATAGCTGACCTTTATTCTAATCTCTAAAACAAAAATGTCAAATTCCCCATGTATGAATGTACCACTGCCTTGAGCTTACCAACAAGTACTCGTTAGCAAGGAAGGAAGAGTTGGCGACCCACATAACCTATCATTCATTTGTCGTTTTCAACCCTTTATTTCCCTATAAAAACGACACACCTCTCTTCCCCTTCTCAACCAAAAGTAATCAAAACCAAAAACACCAATCAAGAACTTTGTTCTACCCAAGCACTTCTTCAACATATCCAAGAAAACAAAACGAATGGCACACAGAATCCGAACTACTGGTCTGGTCCTTGTTCTGGTAGCCTCATTCTGGGCAATGGCTTCGGCGCAATCGAGTGGCTGTACTAATACTATAATCAGCTTGTCGCCATGCCTGAATTACATCCAAGGGAACTCATCAACCCCATCATCTGGATGCTGCTCTCAGCTTAGCAGCGTCGTCAGCTCGCAGCCAAAGTGCTTGTGTGAGGTCCTTAATGGCGGTAGCTCATCGCTCGGGATCAATATTAATCAAACTCAGGCTCTGGCTTTGCCCGGTGCTTGCAAAGTTCAGACTCCTCCACTCAGCCAATGCAATGGTGAGAAAATGCGCATGCAATTTCTGTGATTCGCAGTGAAAAATCATCAGTTAAAACATTTTCAATTGGAAATAGGCATCTCATGAGTTATAGCAATGTGATTCTCCTGAAAATCTTATGCTGACTTGTGCAATACCGTTTGTGACAGCCGCTTCTCCAGCCGGCTCTCCTGCAGGAACAACAGATCCTTCAAACACACCTTCAGGTAAAAAAATAGTTATCAGTTCGCTTACAAATCAGTTTCTTCTCTGATTTTAATGTGAATGTTGATATTAAACTGATCCTTTTAAATCAATATAAGTAGGAACAAGATCTAAAACTGTACCAACGAAAGATGACGGCACATCCGATGGAAGTTCCAACAAGATGTCAATTCCACTTCTCTTCTTGGCCATTCTTGCAGCAGCTTATACTTCAGCCTAAAAAACATACTAAAAATTCATTTTGTATTAATCTATGTTTGATGGTAGCTACAGTATTATTATGTCCTCGATTGTTGTGCTTGTATTCTTCATCCAATCTTTTGAGTTCATATAGATTCATAAAGACAATGTACTGTTTATTTTTTGAGACCCTCACAGGGTTTATCATTGTTTTGTATCACTGAACAGACTGGCTGGTGCCCACTCTCTTCTCTATTGAATAAAATGGTTTCTGGTTTCACAAATTCAATGTTGCACAAATTAATCTAGCAATGAAAAAAATAAACAATGGTTTGATACCCAACAAAACTGAAAGCTAAAACAATCCTTGACAAAACTTGGAAATATTTCATTCTGTTATTGGAAAAACATTCATAAAGTTGCCCTGTGATATAATGCGGACGGTAGTTAAAGAGATTGGCAATAGAACAGATTCAACAAACGGTTGATTATGATACCTGTAACTTGGCAATAGGTCGTACTTGTCAAAATATAAAAGTTATAAATCCTCTCTTTTCCAATAATTACAGGGTTCAAGACCAATTTGCCTGTGACAATGACAGCCATAAATAGATCAAGCAACCTAAGAGATGAACCCCGAATGTTCTCACGAAGGTTCTCTTCCATATACAGCTTTTTTAATACAAATTTTAGCGATCATCACCGAAAGGCGAAGCTGACTTCCTCTAGTCTCGAAAAAACTAAAACTCAGCCGATTCCAAGAGCCAAAGTGCTCAAATTTCCAAGAGAACTACATAGTAATGTTCAGGTCTTCTCGCTAAAACTTAGTGTACATCAAGAATGTGAACGTGATCGCACAAATTCTTCTAGTCTATCCCACACCTCCAGTGCTGCAGCTCTATCTTGATGCCGCTTATTCTTACTAATCTACACATTGGGAAATCGAAATGCATACCACCATTAGAAAATAAACATCAGATACAAAGAAAGTAAAGTGAAAGACACAGGGACACAGAAAGTTGAAAACCACAAAACTTCAACAAAACTAGCATCAAGGAAGCAGCTCAAAAGGGGGACAAAAAATGCTTACTGAAATGATCTTCACATTCCATTGCTTTACATTCTTTGCTGACTCTATACTGTCGTCTTCAAAACGCATGAAAAATCCCTTAACTGCATTACACATAAATTGCTGAAATTAACTGAATATGGTTTCAACAAGAATATTCAAATTCAGCTTATCAATCTTTATCTCGTATGCATACATCCTTAATGGCAACTAAAACTATCCCTATCCTTCAAAAATCAGGAAAAGCAAAAGCAGTTACCAAAACACCCAATTCTGAAAACCAGTATGAGTATCCCAGCCAAAAACCCTGTTCCTAGAACACCAAAACTTCTATCCACAAATCTCATCATGATGATCCTTGAAATGTCAGTCTCCAAATTATCTAGAAAATTATTCCAAAAGGCATTATCATCAGATTATGAACGTCGTATGTACACTTCACCAATACAAGTAAATAGTTCCCTATCCTCTAAAAATTAAGATAAGAAAAAGCAATCACTCATATCCCAACTACAAAAGCCAACACCCAGATGATACCATCGCATTCCTAAACTCCAAAATTTACTTATTATTGTTGAAAATGTCAAAATTAGCTAGAATATGTGCACAATGCAACTAAAAAGTCCCGTATCCTTCTAAATCCAAGATAAGCAAAACCAATAACTTTTAACAATTAACATCCACAATGCAGAACCAATACCCAGATAACCAATCCAATTCCTAAACTCCGAAATTCACTTAATCAGTTCCAAAAATCAATACCCAGATAACCAATCCAATTCTCAAGCTCCAAAAAGCTGCTTACTTTTATTGAAAATCTCCACATGGTCCTTGAAAGGCCAGTCCTTGAACTGCCACTCCTTCCCCAACACGAAAACGGCCACAACCCGATCCCAATCCTCCGCCTTCAAAGCCGAGGGCTTGTCCCTAACCTCGTAAGCCGTCACCACCCTATCCCTATCCCTACTGAACTTCTTCTGCACCGTCACGCAATCGGGCTTCGGACCCTTCATCTGCTTCACCTTCACGTCGGTCGGTATGAAGACCCCGTCCTCCAAAAACTCCTTCACGTTGTAGATCGTGATCAGCGTCTGGAACGCGCTCGGCACCAGGATTATCGGCACTCCCTCGCCGATCTTCCCTCCTTTCATCTTCGGCTTCGGCGCCGGATCGTAACCCGAATCGTCTCCATACCCTCCAATCCCCCTCTCGTCGGCGCTCATCAGCCGGTTCTTCGCGACCAGCCCGTCCTTCCTCTGCTGCGACTCCGCCCTCTGCCGCTCCTCTTCCCGCCTCACCGACGCCGTCAGGACGGCGTGGAAGTTCCTCCCTTTGCACTCCAGTAACGCCTCGCGGTCCTTCAGCGGCCTCTCGCTCGCCCTAATCATCGCCATGAAATCTACCTTCTCCAATTCCCCATCCCCAACCCTAGCTCTCTCATCCACCGCACCATGCTCGACGGCGTCGCCCAAAACGACGTCGTCCGGTCGGTACTCGTCAACCGAGGAAGGGATGGGCGGATCGGGGAACCTAGGGTTTTGAGGGACGAGGAATTCGATGGAGTCAGAGGTGGAGACTTTGCCGGTGAGGTAATCGAGGAGAGGTTTCCGGTCGATGAAGGTGACGGCGGGGAACCCCTGGGTGCGGGCGTTCTGGAGGTATTCGGTGTGCTTGGCTTGGTGGTTCTTGATGTAGTAGACTAGGGTTTCGAGGGTGTAGAGATTGCCTTGCTTGGAGCGGAAGGCGGTGGGAGTGGAGCAGGGGAAGGAGAAGTCGGAGCCGAAGCGGAACTCGTCGTTGAAGCGGGAGATCTTGTCGAGCTCGCCGCGGATGGTGAAGTCGCGCAGGGCGGAGAGTGGGTCCATGGGCAGCGGCGGCGGCGGCGGCGGCGGCGGCGGAGGGGTGGCTGAGTGTAAATTTGAAGATGGAGAAGGGTATTTTGGGAATGGAAGGCGGGAGAGAGAGAAAGGGAGAGAGAGGGGGAAACTGGAAAGTGAGGGTCGGGAGTGGAAAATATTACTTCATTTGACTTGGCAGAATTTAAATTAACTAATTAAAAAAGTAAACAAGACAAAGAAGGAGAAACGACGACGAATCTAAGAGTGGACAGTAAAATTGGAAACGACAATCTATCAAACAGACAACAACATTGGACAAACAACGACGCAGAAACAACCATAACATAAAATCAACTGTCTATTAAAAACAAAACAAAAATCAACCGTCTAACTACAAAGCAAAAAGACCACGACTTGCTATTTTTGTTTTTATTTTTTCTCACATAAATTTATTTTTTTAACTCAAACTTGCAAAAAAAATAGAGACTAACATCTCTTGAGAACCACAACATCAAACAACGAGTTTTTTTATTTTTATTTTTATGTAAATTTCAAGAGAAATTCAAGATAAAATTCTCTGGTGTATACTTTTTACAGACGATATAGTTTTAGTTGATGAACATCGAGAAAGCATTGACTGTAAGTTAGAACTATGGAGACATACCCTTAAAATAAATAGATTTAAGTTAAGTAAAATGAAGACCGAGTACATGTATTGTATGTTTAATAATTTGAGAGATCAGAGTGATGAAATTTTTTTAGATGGTGTGGTGATTAGGGCTTTTAGAAAAATTAGGTACCTTGGGTCCATAGTGCAGTGTGAAGGGGATATAGATGAGGATATTTGACATAAGATTAAGGCGGGGTAGGTTATATGGAAGAATGTCACGATAGTTTTATGTGATGATAAGATGCCTATTAAGTTGAAAGAAAAATTCTATATGACAGTAATTCGCCCAGCTATGTTATATGGTAGTGAATGTTGGGCCATCAAGAGACAATAAATATACAAGATGAGTGTGACGGAGATGCGTATGTTAAGATGGATGAGTGGCTATATGAGAATGGATTGCATACGGAATGAAGTTATTCGTAGTAAAGTAGGTGTAGCACCAATAGAAGATAATGTGCAAGAAAATCGTCTGAGGTGGTACGGGCATGTACAATGTAGATCGTTAGATGCACTTGTTCGTGCTTGGGAGAACATCCAAATACCTAGTACTAGAAGAGCGAGAGGTAGACCAAGAATTACTTAGGCCAACGTAGTTAGGCACGACTTTTAAGATCTAGAGTTTTAAGAGGGTCTCATATTTAATAAAACAGACTAAAAATGAGAAATTCATATAGCCGACTCTAATTAATTTAAGATTAATAATTGTTGTTGTATGTAAACTTCAAGCTCAAAACAATGAAGTATTAAAAAATAAATAAATCTACAAACGACAAGAGACAGATTAAACGTGGATCAGGAGATATAATTCGTGAATTGATGATATATAAACTTCCAAGCGACAATGTTTGTTATATAAACTACAAAAGTTTTAAGAAACTAGAGCAAGAAATAAACATCATTCAAGAAACGACGGCATCTTTATTAGGAAATAGCAAGTCGTGTTAGAACATAAAATTATTATTGGTCCGCTTTTTAATAATTTACGCTTTTTTTGAATGGATTGATAAATTAATATGATATCATAGCGTATATCGATAATTGTAGTTTCATTGAAGAGCGTTTTTGAGCGTCGTTAAAGAGCGTTGTTGAAAATTTACACTCCATCATTTTTATTTTCCAAGTTGGTATGCACTATCTTAAGGAGAAGTGTTGAGATTTTTTGTGACTGATTGGCAATAATTCTTGTAATTACCGTGTGATGATTCTTTCCATGTTTTAGAGATTGTATAGCTGGATATTAGGTGTGAGAAATCAATTAGCTTGATTTGATTTTAGGCATCTAAGGTCACTCTCCTCTATATATATATATATATATATATATATAGATATATATATATATGTATGTATGTATAAAAAAACATTGTAAAATATTAGAGAATGACTCAATGAATGAGATTCTTGATCCGTGGACGTAGGTAAATTGCCGAACCACCTAAAATTTATTTGTTCTATCTTTTCTTCTATTTTTTTTGTTTTTTATTTTTAGAGTTAGTTTATCAATCTATCCCAAAAATTTAAGATATTAGGAAGTGAGCCAACAATAATTTTATATTCTAACACTTCCCCTCATGTATAAACCGAACAAATTATTTTGCTATTTGCTAGGTTTTTTTTGTTTTTTTTTGTTTTTTGTCATTTTATAGTTCAGCCAAACACATGGACATTTATAAATGAAAATAAAAGTACATTTACATGTTTTTGAACTCAAAACTTTCTGCTTTGATACCGTGTTAATTTATCAATCCATCTCAAAAATTCTTCGGATGGATTGGTAAACTAACAAGTGGGACAAAAACAAGTGAAGAAACTGATAAAATCTCTTTAGAAACCAAACAACTCCACAAACTACAAAAGCCTGGGAAAACGACAGCAAATGTAGCAAACAATCACATCTTTATACATTGGATGTATGTATTGTCGGTTTTATTTTGTCCTTGCCTTTCAATGATAATATATGGCAGATTTCAAGCTAAAATACATGACTTATATTGAATGCATGATTGTATTGTATTTACAGCAAAGGAAATAAAAAAGAGACCTATTCAAGGAAAAAAAAACAAAATTGAAGAGGAGAAGTAAATCTCCTTAACAAAAACACATCCAAAACAGTTAATCATGATCAAGATTCAAGATCTTTCATATTTCTATTGATGTAATCAATATTAGAATGAAAGCTATATCATTTCCCACTATTCATCATGAGCAAGACAATTCAATATTTACCCAACTTTACTACTAATCCGAATTATCAGTTGCTAAAATAGAGACAATTATATTCTGATACAAGAACATCATCAAGATGAAGTTTGATAGAAAGAAAACTATACATGATCATGTCCCTAGATTTCCCCTTGAGAATATAGTACTTCTTAAGAACACTATCTCTTTCAAAACCCGCCTTTTCAAAAACCCTTTGAGAAGCCACATTTTCCACATCCACAAGAGCCTCAAGCCTCTCCAAATGTGGCCAATGCATTGCTCACCAACTTCGCGACATGTGTGGCAATCCCTTTGTTCCAATAAGCCGACCCGAAAGCGTAGCCAATCTCAGCACGACACCTGTCGCTACCGGAATTATCCGTCACTAAAATATCACCTATTGACTTGTTGACAAGGCATATTGACCTGAACCAAGGATGGTAAAACATCCTGTAGTGAAGTAACTCCAAGGCCTTTTCTTTGCTCATGTCAGGTTCCCAGTCGCAGAAACGACACACTTTTTCGTCGCTCGCCCACGCGATGAAATCGTCCATGTCGGAGAGATTGAACGACCGGAGGGATATCCGACCAAGATCAAGTCCATCTTCTGAAGGTTTGGAAGAGTTTCCTTCCATTTTGTTTGCTAAAAGAAACAAACAAAAACGTCCAATAATTATTAAACTAGATGAGATTTATTTAGACCAATTACATACCTTTCTTGTTACTTTCTTGAGGCCCAAGGAATTGATCAATTTCCCAGAACTTGCCCAATAATTTGCTGAGAATGACCCAAGACTATATAATGACCGAATTACAAAAGATCTACTTCTTGATGCACTTCTTTCTTTCTTTCCCTTTTGATTCCTTTTTCTGTTTCAAGGCTTTCTCTGGAAATTGAGCTAGTTGACTTGAGTATTCAGATTATCACTCCATTTCTGTTTCCTAGCAGGAAAAAGTAACAATGGAAATTTTTCCTCTTAGAGGATTAAATAAAGCAAGGGAATATTTCTGATTTAGACACTTATTCTTCTACAATGGCTCATAATATGGTCACGGAGGTAGATATTAGGCGTGTAATTCGGCCGGGTAGGGTCGGGTTGAGTTGAGCCGAAAAATTGAACCGCCCGCTTAGTGCGGGTTGAGAAAATTTTGGGCTGCAACACTCTCTTAAGTTCACAAACCCACAACCTTTTGGGTGACCTCGGGTAGGCTCGGGTTACTCGGGTTGGTGAAAATAAATTTTAATCTATGACTTCATATCTCTTTTAACAGTCCAAAAGCATAAAATCCATAAACAGTCCATAAACATTAACATAACATCAAACATACTTCTTAACAGTCAATAAAGTCCAGAAATAAAATTAACAATACGTCAAATAAACAGTCCATATAGAGATAGTCCAACAAAATAAATTTAGGGATTTAGGGTTACACACCTAAATCGGGTCAGACTAACATAACATCAAACATACTTCTTAACAGTCAATAAAGTTCAGAAATAAAATTAACAATACATCAAATAAACAATTTATATAGAGATAGTCCAACAAAATAAATTTAAGAATTTAGGGTTACACACCTAAATCGGGTCAGGTCAGGGCAAATCGGGTTCAAAATGCCCGTCCCCCAACCCGCACAGAAAGGGTTGGGACTATTTGAAACCGAATTAAATTTAAAAAAAAAAAAAAAAAAAACCCTACACCTTCAGATCAGATCAGACAAGTTATTCGAATTCAGGCTCATTTTTTCCACCCTTAATAGATATAGATATGCAAGTTACCAATGTGTACTACCGTTTTTAACACTTAAAAAAATGAAAAAGAAAAAGAAAAACTACCCTTTTCAACCCGACTTTTTGAATAATATATCTAGTTTTAGGCTCTTTCTCCTCCCCATAATAAAGCACTCATTTCAACTCTGTTGTTATTATTATTATTTTAATCGTGTAGTACTTAATAGTATACTTTTATGATGTAACAGTGTGTTCTTATACCGTTAGATACAGTGACACGTTACTAATAGCATCGATATGATTTTTTTTTTTTTTTTTTTTGGTTATTTTACAATCAAACTTCTTGGTAATTTCTTGTGGTAACTTGGGACACAAGTTCACGCCAATTACTAATTTTCCGTTACTGCCTATAGACTTGAGAAGGTGAAATTCCTTAAATTTGCTAGTAGACATGCAGGGAATACTTTGATTCTATTTTCTCTCCTTCCTTTCCTAATAAAAGCAAGATCAAGTTTTCCTAAAACTGGTCTTATCTCACTATGTTAAATTGTCGCAAACCATCATTAACTTGTTACAGAAAAACAAAAAACAAAAAACAAAAAAAAAAAAGGAAAAAAAAATAGGGAGAAAAAAAGAAAAGAAAAGAAAACCGTATTGTTAGTAGTTTGAGTTTCCAATTGTAATCAACTTTCGAAAGACATTTTGTTTCATACAAAGGACAAACAACAAAAAATAAAACGACACGTAAATGAACAGAGCCTATAAATTAAATGATAGTATGTATTAGAAACAACGATAACTTTCCAAAAATTATCAAAAAAAAAAAAAAAAAAAAACGATAACTTTCCAAACGAAAAAGGTTCATAAACGACAATATTGATTTCAAACGACGACAAAATTAACAAACGACAACATTAACAAATAACAGAAAAAGGGCAAAGCAAATAAAGGAAGATTTAAATCAAAGAAGAAGGAAAAAAAAAAAAAAGAAAAAAACCACAAAGAACTAAATGTTGAATTGAGACACATTTAACATTTAGGGACATACAGTAATCTCAGCCTCGAAACTCACAAATACCCATAATTAATTTCTCCAAAATTAATCAAACACCCAAATTTAAACTCTTCATTTAAGTTTAAGACTCATGCTTAGGAATAAAACTATACATAACCATGTCCCTAGTATTCCCCTTGAGAATATAATACTTCTTAAGAACACCATCTCTCTCAAAACCAGCCTTTTCAAGAACCCTTTGAGAAGCCACATTTTCCACATCCACAAGAGCCTCAAGCCTCTCCAAATGTGGCCACTCCCAAAATATTGCATTGGCCACCAATTTCACTGCATACGTGGCAATCCCTTTGTTCCAATAAGCCGACCCCACAGAATAGCCAATCTCGGCCCGACACCTGTCACTACCCGAATTAGGCGTCACTGAAATATCACCTATTGACTTGTCACCAAGGCATATTGACTTGCACCAAGGATGGTAAAAGATCCTGCTCTTGAGCAACTCCAAGCCGTTTTCTTTGCTGAAACGGGCCTCCCAACTGCAGAAACGGCACACTTTTTCGTCGCCGGCCCATGACGTGAAGTCGTCGACGTCGGAGAGATCGAACGCCCGGAGAGAAATCCTGCCGAGATCAAGATCACGATCATCATGATGATCTGCAGCTGCCCCGCAAGAGTTTCCTTCTTCTTTTTCCATTTTGTGAGGCTTCAATTAGAGACCAGGTCTAAAATAATGGTTAATGATTTTTTTTATTTTTTTTATTTTATTTTATTTATTTATTTTTTTTTCCGTTTTGTGAGAATACAAACTACAAAGACTGAAAGACATATGCAACGTCAATTTAAATGAAACTAGCGCGATTACAACAAAGAAGTGATTTTTTTTTTTTTTTTGTCCCCACTAAATTGCGTACCACTTTCTTAAGGCCTAAGGAGTTCGATCAATTTCCCTGAATTTTCCCAAGCACTTGCTGAGACTATTGTCGAGATAACAATCTCCACCAATTAAACACTTTCTTTGGTCAAAAGTCTTGTTTGTAACCGGAGATTCCCATCCCACGCGACGTTCCTTTTACTTTTAGCATTTTCTTTGAAACAAATCATTCACACGTTAATCTTTAGAGACTATATGTTCAATCGTTAAATATGTATTAAAATTTATCTGTTATGCATTTTTTTTTAATTTAATGTAATTAATTTTGACCGGATGTCAACTAAAAAATAAGAAATATCGGTGTTTTTAAAAAGAAGAAAACATAATAAAAACTCTCTAATTTTACAAACTTGATTTCAATAGCATCCTTTTGACCGTAAGAATTTCTTACAGGCCCTAGCACATAAAAAAATTGCAAATATGAGGGGGCATGAAAAGTTTTTATTATCCTGCAAAACATAACTATACCATGTACAACAAGTTTCTAATCCAAATCATACATAATATGAAAGTAGCAAACCAACATGATATTTTAAGATAAATACAATACATAGACATAATATAGCATATCAAACGCTCCCTTAATATTATATTCTAATCTAAGCCTTAGGAAAGTTTATACACTCTTATTAAAATTATTTAAATTTTTATGAGAAAAAATACCGTAATAAAAAAATTTGAGTCGTGATTTGAGTAAGGCATCAAAGTATTGATGGATGATGTAAACAGTGATTTGATTTGTGCAGTCACATTTCTCATAATGAGAATGGTGCTGCCTACACATCAGCAAATTTTGGTTTCACTTTAGTTGAAGATCAATATTGGTTAGAATGTCCTAGTTGCATTACTACTATTATAAGTTCCGATATGGCATATTCCAGTTAACGCAATTCACTTTTCCTTAAAAAAAAAAAAAAGAGTGAAAAAAAAAATACCATTCCACATTTAATTATTTGATCTCTCTTGACAATCACCTTAGATGAAATTAAATTCAAACAAATGCATAAAATTATATACATTCTTATATTTAAATTATATTATTTTTATATTTTTATACTTTCTCTTTTTTTTACGTTATTTTGAAAGGGAATCTAAGGCTCCTACTAGAGGGGCATAAAATTTTATACTATTTGATTTGTGCCTTCGCTTTGACACTTTTTTTTCCTTCTTTTTTTTTTGTGTGCTCTGAACACTTTTTTTCCCATTATATATGAACTGAAAAACAATAGAATTGTAAAATAATGATACAGGAGTTATAAACGTGAATTGAGAATGGAAGATTTCCTAATTTTCACGATGTATTAGATGTGCACTTTTATGGTTCTGGAAAAAATATGTGTACCAAATTACCCATGCTTTCAATTAGCAAAAGGAAAATGGAAAGGAGCGAAAGATAGATACATTCAAAGTGAATGCTTTTAACTTTAGTTGCTTACTTTTTGACAAGATCCAATTTAGTGGTGGAACTTCGGGCGGCGGGCCTGCCCAAAGCCCGAAAATTTTTGGGCTCGGCGAGCAGGCACCATTTGCCGCCCGTCCACCCTAATTACCCGAGTTCAGGCTCGGGCAGCTTGAGGAAAAACCTTTCCCGGCAGCCCGCCGCCGGTGGGGGAACCGTGATAGCCGGCTGCCGTTTTTTTTTTTTTAAATTTTTCACTGTAACTCGAAATTCGACCCGTTGCCCGAAATCTCAAAAAACCGCTAGTTTTTTGAATTTGCCCGACCCGATTCCACTTTTTATTTTTATTTTTTTTTTACCGTTAGCCCGAATTTTGAATGTACGGCTACATTTTGCCCGACCCGACCCGTTGCCCGCTTGCCCGACTCCAACGGCTCTTTTTTTTTTTTTTTACCGTTGCCTGAGTTGCTCGAACCCGACCCGACCCGCCGTAAATGAAGTTACCGTTGGAGCCGGTTTTTGAGGGAAATTTTTTTTTGTTCAAGCCAAACAATCTCTCCCAACCATTTTTCTCACCCAAAAACTCTCATCCTCTCTTAATTTCTCTCAATCTCTCTCAAATCTCTCTTAATCTCGCTCAAATCTTTCTCAATCTCTCTTAATCTCTCTCAAAGCGCTCTCGATCTCTTATTTTTCATAATGGATTCTTCCGGTTATGGTGGTGATATTCCCGTTGATGCCCAATTCAACAATGAAGAAGGGCAATTTCTTACTAATGTTTTTCAAACGCAGGAATCGCAAACACCAGAAGGAGCCGCTGAGGAAACTGCAAATCCGAGTTGTGGTGGACGTACTAGAGGTCATGGACCTCGTGGTTGTAACGATGGTGGGCGTGGAGGAGACGCAAGCGGAAGTGCTAGTGCAAGTGTTGCAAGTTCCAAGAAGAAATGCAAGCGCACCTCAATAGTTTGGGAGCACTTCAACAAATTCGAGGAGGTCGACAATAACGGTAACATTAAATACATAGCTCAATGCAAATATTGTGGTGATAAATTACAAGGTAACACTATTCACGGCACAACACACTTGAGAAGACACTCCAAAAAGTGTCTTCAAAAGCAAGGAGGCGGACCCAATTTCTGCCAAACACAATTATCATTTGATTGTCAAACCAGTGGTCTAACCACTTAGAAATACGATCCGCAAGTCGATCGTATGGAAATGGCACGATTAGTAGCCACATTAGATCAGCCACTTAGTTTTATCGAACAAAGAAATTGGTAGCGTTATATTAAAATTGTACATAATCCTAATGCACAACTTTTTTCAAGAACTACTCTAAGGAAAGATGCATTAAAATTATATAAACAAGAAAGGGAAGCATTAATCAACCTTCTACACTCTATTAGTGGTTGTGTTGCGTTAACGGTGTATATTTGGTCTCCCGTTGCCAACAAAGATTATTTAACTGTAACCGGACATTATTTAACGGTTTTGATTTAGATAAGAGAATATTAAGTTTTAAATGTGTTCTAGGATCACATACCGCTGATTTAATATATAATACGATTTTATCTGTCACTGATGAATATAGTTTAAGGGATAGAGTAATGGCTATAACATTAGATAATGCTACTATAAATACTAAAGCAATAGAACTTTTTGAGGCGAACTTAAGTTTATTCACTAACAATGATATATTTCACCAACGTTGTGCATGTCATGTAATTAATTTAATAGTAAAATCCGGTTTAAAATCAATGTCAGGTTATATTAAAAGAATTAGAGATAACATTGCATAGATTCAAGGTAGTAATCAAAGAATACAAGATTTTTTTAGGTTTCTACAAGCATGTAATCAAAATCCTAGAGCATTAGCCTTAGATATGCTCGTAAGATGGGAACTCCACTTATATAATGCTTGAACAATGCATCTCCTATAAAGATGTTATAACAAACTTTGTTAGTGCAAAATTAGGACCAAGATTTATAGATGAAACTAATTGGCAAATTGCCGAACTCTTGTATAACTTTTTAGGTAAATTTCACGAAGTTACTTTAAAGCTTAGTGGAACTTATTACCCAACGTCACCATTAGCGTTAGGAAAACTTTTAAGAATGACTATTTTATTTAGTGAATTTAGGACACACAAGATTTTAGGAGTTCCTATC